ATCAGAGCTGGAGAATTTCTAGCCAGTAGTCCCTCTGCCTTCCAATCTTGGGTGCTGATTTTTCTTTTGGCTGAAGAAAAGCCAAGGTTCAGATGTTCTAGTGCTTCCCAGTATTAGCTGAGTCATCTGTGGAAGACCAGGTCGGTAGGCAGGAGGTGGGAGGTTTGGAATCTGGCTGAATCTGTGCCTGTTTGTCTAGGAATGCAGACATGGAGATGACTCTGGAGCGAGCAGTGAGTATGCTCGATGCAGACCACATACCGCTGTCCAGGATTTCTGCTGCAGCCACTTTCATACAGCATGAGTGCTTCCAGAAATCTGAAGCTCGGAAGAGGGTGAGTGTCATCTTCAGTCCATTGCAAAACGCAACACACTTTCACTTCTACTATGATGACCTTGCACACTGAAACCAGTACTTTATTTAAATTTTTAAAAATCGAGACTGGGCGCAGTGGCTTATGCCTATAAGCCCAGCACTTTGGGAGGCCGAGGCAGGTGGATCACGAGGTCAGGAGTTTCAGACCAACCTGGCCAACATGGTGAAACCCCCATCTCTACTGAAAATACAAAAATTAGCTGGGTGTGGTGGCAGGTGCCTGTAATCCCAGCTACTCTGGAGGCTGAGGCAGGAGAATCGTTTGAACCCAGGAAGCGGAGGCTGCAGTGAGCGAAGATTGCACCACGGCACTCCAACCTGGACGACAGAGTGAGACTCATCTTAAAAAAGAAAAAATAAACAAACAAAAGTTTCATTGAGGTCTTTTACTTTAAAAGGAAACAGCCACTCATTACCAAAAATATTTCCTGCAAATCGGAAATGCAGAAAGTAAGTCCCTACGCAAACTTCCCCATTCTTTTCCTGTCTCCCCAACCTCTCCATTTAGAACCCTCCCCAGCGGCCAGTGTTTTGCAACTTTTTTTCATTCAATGATTCCATTAACATTTGTAACAATTGTTCAATGAATTGCTTTGTGCATATGTCGTTTGACTCTCTGTTCCTGTAGGACAGATCCTCAGAGATGGAATCAATAGGTTATTTTATATTTGTTTTAAAAAGTGATACAAAAATAAAAAAAAAGAAAAGAAATAAAAAGTGATACATTCATGAGGGAGAAGGAATCACAGCTCAAAAAGGTATTCGGTGAAAAGTAAGTCTCTTCTACTCTAAACTCCAGCCTATATATTCTCTCTGTTCTCTTTCAGTCTTTCTTACACACAAACACATATATCAATTTTTTTTTGTCTTTCCAGAGATATTTTATACACATAGAAACAATTGTTGAAACAGTTGATTGAGTATCCTTTTTAAAACATGAAATAATAAATGATAACTTACTACTTACAGTACTTTATTTTTTCACACTATATCTTGGAAATCTTCAATATATATTAATCTTACCTCATTCTTTCAAGATGCTGCATAGATTACTGTTGTTAAATGTATCAGTTTTGTTGATTCATTTTTTAACAACCTTATTGAGGTACAATCTGACATAGTTTTGACATGTTTTGACACTATAAAACCATCATCACAATCAAGATAACAAACACATCCATTACCTCCAGTGTTTTCTTGTGCCCCTCTGTAATCCGTATATCCCACCTGCCCCTAACCTACTAACAGCCTCCCAAAACAACCAATGAATGATCTGCTTTCTATTTTTTGAAACAGGATCTGACTGTGTCACTTAGGCTGGAGAGCAGTGGTGCGATCACAGCTCACTGAAGCCTCAACTTTCTGGGCTCAAGCAATCCTCCTTCCCCAGTCTCCTGAGTAGCTGGCACTGTAGGTGCACACAACCATGCCCAGCTAGTTTTTGTATTTTTTGTAGAGCTGGGGGTCTCACTATGTTGCCCCCAGGCTGGTCTGGAACACCTGGGCTCAAGCA